TGCTCTACCTTTTGGTCGGTGCTGGAAAAATGCACCACCAGGCACTTTTATCTTAATGTTCAGGGAGCCCAGCTTCCCCTCCCCCCACAGGTTTAGACTAATCGACTGATCAGCTTGCAGACTAATCTCTAACCCGACATGATGGATGTGTCTGTACCTGGAGGTGGGTCATATCCTGATTATTAAACATGCAGATATCATCTCTAACAGGTGGGGAATGGGCTTGGAGAGAACGAGAGAGAGAGGATGTTCCCTCAATGTCACTTTGCTCTTTAAAAGCAAACCATTTTCACTATTTCCTCTATGAAAAGCAGTTTATATAAAAAAAAAAATGTACCCGGTTTTGGCATTGGAAAGCATATTTACTGCGTGAGCCACGAAAGATGAATTTGCAGCCGTCCGACAATGCAGTTGAGATGTAGACTTGTGTCTAATAGTAGTCGACAGCTCTTCAACAACATCTTTGACATGTCAGGAACGCCCATTGATTGACCCGACCTCTACGCGGGCCTTTTGACAGCTGCCTGTTGATTGATCACCTCTGTGCAATCAAACCCCCCCAACCATTGATTTGTTTAACTTTGTTTACCTTCCGCTTTTGGGCCAGTCGCCATTCCACTGGTGGGGGTGATGGTGGTGGTCACCCGCAAACTGGTGCTCCGAGTGCTGACACTTTCTGCCGAGTTTTGTGTTTTCTCTGCTGTGGTGTCGGGGGGAGTCGGATGGAAGGTGATTCCCGTTCCAGGGATTGTTGACGTCTCGTCAGGATGAACTGTGATTTCTGGTGCCGTTGTCGTCGACATCGTATGTAAAAACTCATCGTCGTCCTGCGCTGTTAACGCTAGCGTTGTGTCCCGAGGTGGGTGTCGACGTGTCCCATTTTGTTCCGGCATGCCTGAGCTGGTGGGACTCGGAGTATTCCCGATATGTGTTGCAGAGGTTGCGACAAGAGCGCCATTGTCAGCGCTGCCGTGTGGAGGATGCGATGTTCCCGCGGGAAGACTTTCCGTCCTTATCTCTGTCGCGCCGCTTAGGAACTGAGTGGAACCGGTGGGAAGTGAAGAGGCTTCAGTTGTGATCCCGTCTCCAGATGCGGATTGATCGGTTGGGTCTGACAACTCGCGGCCCGTTGCGTTCAACTCCGTGGTCTCGCTTTGACCTCCAGCAGGATAAAAAGGTAAACGAAACGGCAGCGATGGAAAGGACGGGAGCTTTGGCAGGCTTGGCGTCCACCAGTAAGAGCCGTATTTCTTTTGGGGTGGCTTTTCCCTGGAAGGCGTTGGTCCCCAGAGCCCCTCTTCGTCAGCGGAGGTCTGCTTGCGAACCAGGAGGAGACACCAGAAGCACAGGGCCAAGGTCCGGTGGAGGCGAAGCATGCTGTCGGCGGTGCTTGGTGAATCGGTTACATGTTGAGGAATGACCTAGAAAACAAGAACAAACGGTTCATGTGTGAGGGGAACATTTTTAGAAGGCCACATCAATCTATTTGCCAGCCCCTTGGAGCTGATGGACTTTACAGGCCCAAAAGCTTCCGCCCTGCAAAAACCCACTTAAGTTTTTTTGGACTCCGTCAATTAGTGGTTTCCTTGAGGTCATTATTTTCACGACGCTTTACCTTCTCAGACTTCTCAAAATCTCGCGGGGGTGGGGTGGGGGGGGCGCTTGTCCATAGCTCAAGAATTGGCTAAGGGACCTCCCTTTTTTTTATGCTGGTTCAAAGTCACTGGACTGTTGCCTCAGTGAAAAGATGAGGGGACCAAAGGAATTCCCCCCTCACCCCCGCCCTGCAAGAACAACAACCTACACGCCCCAAAACCCCCCCCAAAACCCCCAACTCACCCTTTCTCTTGCTCCCACCCCGCCGGCTCTAAATCTCTATTGTGTATATGTGGTCCACGTGAGAGAGAAAATGCCAATATTCTCAAACCGTAACAAAATTAATTCCCCATTAGAAGAGCTCCAAGTCTTTAATCCGGACCACAGCATGACTATGGAGGAAGGCGGGGGGGGGGTTAAACTCATGCTTCCCACACACCCTGCTTTTAGAATCTCATCTGTGCAAGATTCAAGCCAACCCTAGATGTTTTTCGGTGCAGGTTCTAGCACGCGCGCAGTCCACCTACACGCTTTGGATGACTTTTATGCATGCAAAGATCGTACAGATGAACGTCTGGGGGGTGGAGGGGGGGCATCTTGCCATTGTGCTCCCACACGCACACACGCTTCTCGGATGCGCCCACACAAACACACTTTAGAATTTTACATTGGAGGCGATAGCAGGAAAGATGTCTGTTTTTTTTTTTTTTTTTTTTTTGGCAAACTGTCTTCTCATCGTACATTATTTACATGCTTGAGGCGGTCTATAATTAATTTATCTCACGTTTTAGGCGTCAGTATCACTTCCACTCTGCATCCCGTTTTGTGTACGCGTGTGTGGTAATAGGCAACTCGCGGCAGTTGCAGATTTTTCAATAGCTGATGTTGCTCCGAGTTATTTCCCGAGTGTGTCGCCTTCCCTTATCCTCCCCGGCTCGTCTCGGCCTCTTGCCTTCTGTCCAAAAGCGCTGACTTGAAAGTCTTTTACGCACTGTATTCCACAACCTGCCTTATGTTTACGGTTACGTCACCTCACCCCAAGTGGAAAGCTCGCTATGTTCAAGTCGATATGATCATTTAGTTAACCCTTCATAATGCCCCGCTGAAAAAAGAGACTGAGCCACCAAGAACCCCCCAAAACACCACCAAAGAGTGGCTTTTTTTTTTTCTTCAGCCTTTTCACTCGTCACGTCATCCAATACTACCCCTTAAATCAAGCCATTGTCTGCTGTGACAGGCAGCAGAGCAAATGTAAAAAAAGCCATAAAAAGAGTGCAGCCGGTGAGAATTTACAGGCCTCCCTTCCATCACGGTCGAATGCTGCTCTAGCGAGCGCAGCTGAAGCACGGCGGAGGGTTTGAGCGAGACATCCTTGACACGCCGTTGTCGCATTCTCAGTCCTGGAGAGTCAACTGCGCCGCTGTCTGCCCGATTGTCTTTGCGTTTGCCGCTGGAGTCGCTTTCGTTAAGTGTGCAAACATGCGCGTCTCCACTATCTTAATGAACCCGACGGCAGTCTTTGACAAAGAAGCACCGCTTTGCTGATAATAATAATGGAGTGGGTAAAGATTGAGAAAAAAAAAGAGAGCAATGTGACTCAAGAGGGTTTAAGTCGACCTGGGAATTGACCAGCTGCCCACCTAAATCCCAGGTCACCCTTCTTAAGCTCACGGATATGCAGTGTGAAAGTTGAATTTTCGGGGTTGAAAATTATTACTCTGGCTCTTTACGCGCGTATTTGAAACGATGTCGGAAGTGGTCACAGTCCTGGTTCAACTTCAGACCCGCCGTCCCACATCGTGACTTGACACTCTTGGCTGTCGTACGCTTCTGATGCTGTGTCAGAGTCTGGCAAATTCTGCCTAGATGGGTTGTGTGAAAAGGCCGAAGGCTTATGAAACGATCCCGGGTGACTGAGGCAGCTACAGGAACCCCGAGTCGATGGTTGCTGTACTTGTCTCATAGGAAGCAGCAACGCTAGCATCGTTTGTCAACAAAATGAGCGACGAGTTGTTTACAAACGGACGCAGCCGGTCAATGCTGCCGTTGACCGTGGCCGGCGGTCTCGTCCCGAAATAGCCCCCGGCGGTGCCATGTCATGCCTTGTCATGTTGTAGTGCGCCGCTCCCGGTGACTTAAAAGGGCATTGAAAGAAGATTAATTCCCTAAGTGTTCTAATCTGTCGCCTCCCAACAGATGCCCACGCCTTCTACCACTTGCCCCCCCACCCCCCAAAAAAACAACCAAAAAAAAAAAACCTGTTGATTTCCTTCAAAGCTGTCCATCACTGCACCACCTCGGGGGAAAAAAAAAACCTGACGGCTAAATGCGACCTCAGCGAACACTCTCCAGGCGCTCCCCGTAGCCCCAATGCTAATCCTCGGATTTCTGCACCTTTTGCCGTCTTGCTGAAATGCACGCGCGCATGCCTTCTTGAGCAGTCGAGATGAATGCCAAACAGTTTCTACTAAAACACAATGCTAAGTGGCTTACCTGCCGATGTTTGGAATGAGCTGCAGAATTCCCGACCACCTCAGCAATGCGCGCGTGTGTGTGTGTGTGTGTGTGTGCTCCAGGAGAGGCTCTCTCTCGTGTGTCAGCGTAGGTCCGACTGCATGGACTTGTAACCTCTCTCTCGCTCGCTCTCTCTCCATCCTCAGCCCTCCCCTCCCTCTCACGACCAAACACATCACCATGACGCTTGGTCACACCTCAGGGAGCAAATTGTTCATTTGCTGAAGGTCGTTTATTGAGGAGAAAAAAAAAAAAAGAATGATCTTAAGTACAGTTCTGCTCATACATCTTTATAATGTCTTTAAAATTATTTAAAAAAAAAACTAAAGAGGTACCGCCTCATTTCTTTATTCCTGGTTAATGGTCTCTAAAGTTAAACGTGAATCCCATTGAAAAATAATCACTCGTTTTCTTAAAGGTACACATCTTGAACAACTGTAATTGCGTTCTTTTGAAACATCAACAAAATGTTCTTTTTTTTTTTTTTTTAGCAGATCATCACTATATAAAATGCTGGAGATAAAAATGCAAAATTCCAAACAAAGTAGGTGACCATTCGTTTTCACGCAAAGCCATTTGAAGTTGTTTCGCGTTGCATTTACAGTTTAGTTATTGAATAGAAATTAAAGTGAATAATAAAATAAAATGTTGGGTCACTTTTTTTTTTTTAAACACCAATGAATTCAGTTGAAAAATTATCGGTGAGATAAATGTCCTATATGACATTTACGGTGTCATTAAAATGTATCCACGACAACTATGTCATTGCTTGTTTGTTGCCCGTCACTCATGATGTCAATCAGGAGCAATTTGCATCTGTTCACCTTCTGCTTCGTGGCATTTAAAAAAAAAATTAAACATGAATATTGTGGGCGAACTGTAGTAACCCCCCAATCCTCCGCAGACCTTGCGATCCGCTGGAATGTCCCAAATATAGGAACAATCAGTCGAAACCACACCAGGGAGGCATAATTTCCTGAGTGGGAGCTCTTCCCCCATTTCTGTCTCCGCCCACCAATCACTTCATCACAAGCTTCATGACATCTTTGACCTTGACTCTCCTCGCTATTCTCAACACTTCTACCCTGCAAACACGCAGGAGTGTCTTATTGCCACAACAATAGCACGACAAATTTGGCAAAGCTTGATGTCGACTTATTTGTGTCCACGCGGGACATTCAATTATGGCAAAGTAACCCTTTCACTTTGACTTCAACTTCCCAAGTACCCCGTGTGCACCTTGCCACATATTCCTGCCTTATCAGTTGACTGCCGAATCTCTCGGCTGATTTTGGGGACATGATGTCCTTGGTCCAGTCTGACTGGTGACCGTAAGACTCGCAATCGCTGGAGGACGTGCATGTGTGTGTGTGTGTGTGTGTGTGTGTGTGTGTGTGTGTGTGTGTGTGTGTGTGCGTACATCCCGCTTTAGCGTGACAATAGCAGAGAAAGTTGAATTGTTTTTCACCCCGCTGTGGAAAGTGTGACTCTTTTTATAGCCTTGTAATGGCCGCAACATATTGTGTTGTTCTTAAACAAGGAAGTCCATTTCTAACAATGTTTTTGTTTTTTTTGTGGTTGTAGTTTGCACTGCATCATCTTCAATTAGTTATCCCAAATAGCTAAGCATCTGTTTTAATGCAATGCCCATTGAGTTCCTCGCGCCCCTCTTTTGCCCTCTCCACGAGAACAATTGGGCGTCCGCACAAACAATGAGCCAAAGGAAAAGCCCAGGGTGGAGTAGGTGGGGTGGCAGGGTCCCAGCTTCAGGGTGGAAATTAAGGTTTGAGGCCCCCCAAATTTGTGTGTGCATGTATTCTGGAAATGACTTTTCTTTTTTAGGGTTGATCATAGTGCCCTCTGTTGCTCTGCTATGATTCTAACATGAAGTAAATGCATTTTAGTCCAGTTTCAACCCAGTGTCTTTATTTCCCCCAATGTATTTAATCATTTTGTTTTAAATTCAATGTCTACCAATGCGCTAATCAAACATTACAATGACACAAATTTATTTAAAAAAACTCCTCCTGAATCCAGAGTTAAATGACTGAGGTCATGGCTGACGTTTCCCGATTGAGCGTGACTCTGTCTCCATCATGTGGCCAATAGGTGCATTGCAGTCACTTGACGGCGCCGCATTCCGGCTCGTCAAAAGCCCTTTTTGCCCTTCACGTTTCTGTATTTAGACTAAGGCGGTCACAACCTGTTCCACTGGCTTATCTCGACGATAAATAAAAACAGATACATGAGGGTAAACACAGGACATGCAGTATAAAAACGTCCTCCAAATGCAGCAGTCCCCTTTGAACTGATTTCACTGATTGATTGGAGTCCACGCTTGCGCAGTAACTCTTTTCGGACGCGAGCGCGCATAGGAGCGTGGTAGCAGCAGCGCGCATGCGTGGAAGAGAGTCGCGGGGGGTGTAAAGAGAGTCGCCGGCTCAATTTCCATCCCGGCTGCACACTTGCATCCATCAGCTGGACACGACGACGAGCCGGCAGCGGGAATACTGAACCGGACACGCCATGGGCAACCTGCTGCTCACCACCGGGTAATATAAACCTATATCTATATTCAATTTATATTCATATGTATTTTTAATATGGATTTCAAGGGTTTCGTGTACTAGTGTAAAAATAGGTCATGCTGACATAGAATGCTGCATTGTAGTCCAGTCATGCATGTTTTAATTCTATTGTTTTTCCTATAGGCTGTTTACAACCGGGGCGCCCCCACCCCAAACTGAGAGCAGATTCACCAGCGTGCCCATCAGCAGAGGCATCACCTACTACCGGGCGCGCCACCCTTGGCCCACTTCCTCCACCACCCATGACCCACTTCCTGCCACTCTGATCCCATCACAAGCCTCCCCGCCTCGCCCCCTCCTCCTCTTCTTCTCGTGGCTCGGGGCCCACCCGGGGGCGGCAGCCAAGTACTTTGACGCCTTCCTGATGCGGGGCATGGACGTGCTGCTGGTGCAGAGCGGCGTCATGCACTTTCTGTGGCCCCGCTGGGGGCTGGACTATGGGCTGGAGCTATTGGAGGTCCTGGAGGCGCCCGAATTAGCTGGGCGGCCCCTTCTGGTGTACGCCTCGTCCATCGGGGGCTACACCTTCGCGCAGGTGCTTGTCCACGTGGCCGACGGGCACGCCAAGCATGCCACTCTGCCCCACCGGGTCGTTGGCCACGTCTACGACAGCCTGGTCGCCGGAACCCTGGAGCACATGGCCACAGGTGAGCGAGCGCTCGCATGAGATGAGGTTAGGTGACCCTCTAGTGTCTATGTAGGACAAAAAAAAAACATTTTTTACAACTGGCAGAGCAGGACTCTAGTGGTTTTTAGCTGTCAGAGCTAAGCAAAGCAAACTTGTTCTCAAACTGTCTCGGTATAAGGGGCAATAGGTGAACGAGGACCTGCTGGGGATCATGTTACTCACGAGTTGAGCCACTGCTGTCAGTCTGGGACACCAAAAGACAGTTGGTTTTTTTTTTCTTTTTTTTAAACTTGACAAAATTTGCCATAACTGCCTTAAAGCCTGTTAGCTTAATGCTATCACTTAATGGGAAACGCCAGAGATGAGCTAGGAAATAGCATTAGTGTTGCAGTGTTATAACCCATTTAAACAATGGGTCTTTGAACACAACACAAATGACATAACACTAGTCACGGGCATATGTTCTTTAGCATCTGAAGATTATTAAATGTTACTGTGGCTTATTGAGTACCATCCTGTCAATGTAGGCAATGTTTTTTTAGCTGACTAAACAGAAAAAAAATACAAAAACTGAACTGATTTTGATTCAAAGAATGATTCTATGTTCCCCAGGTTTAGGCAGGACACTGGCGCCCCTCCTGGAGCGCATCATTAAGAGTACGGCCATGTTGTACTTCTGGCTCTTCAAAGCCAGCACGGCCGACGTGTACCAGCGCGCCATCCGGGTGTTCGCCAACAGCCCCGTCATGGCCCCGGCACTCTTTTTTTCCAGCGAGGATGACGCTCTGTGTGACGGTGACGTCCTGGATTCCATTGTGGCCGGTTGGCGGCGCAGGGGCGTTGCCGTCTACAGCAGGAAGTGGAAGGTTTCAAAGCACGCCGCGCACATACGTTGCCACCCGGAGGAGTACCGACACACGCTGGAAGCCTTTTTGGACTCGCTGCCTTTAAGCCCACCTCTTCTTGGCACAAATGTACAATAAATATTTTTTTCATGACACCCATCCATGAACTGTATTTGCCTAATGAAATTTTATTCCCTGGAGAGTGTAGGTTGGTTGCAGTTCTCAAAATGTCCACAAGAGGGCACTTCTCCCCCATAGATGCTTAAACCAACATTTTCCATCCATCCATCCATTTTCCGATGGGCTTTATCCTCACAAGGGTCGCAGGGGGGTGGGGGGTGCTGGAGCCTATCCCAGCTGTCTTCGGGCAGTAGGCGGGGGACACCCTGAACCGGTTGCCAGCCAATCGCAGGGCACACAGAGACGAACCACCATCCACGCTCATACGCACACCTCGGGACAATTTAGTGTGTTCAATCAGGGACAATTTAGAGTGTTCAATCAGCCTGCCGTGCATGTTTTTGGAAGTGTGGGAGGAAACCAGAGTACCCGGAGAAAATCCACGCAGGCCCAGGGAGAACACGCAAACTCCAGGAGCTGGAATTGAACCCGGTACCTCTGCACTTTTTGGTGGGGAAAAGTGTCCCACCTGAGGCCGCTACTGATGGATCTTACTTGTATATAATCCAAGAAATGCGGGTTTCGTTTGTAGTTGTGCGTGTGGTGGTGGTTTTTTTTTAGTCCCTCTTCAGTGCCAAGTGGACCTGCAAGGTTAAATTGATACTTTTGTATGACGAACAGATGCTCACAGTTGCATTGGGGAAAGTAATTCTTTTTTTACAGTAATTCGTTTTTTCACATTGACGCTTTGGTCCGGCGCAGATACTTTTTGGGGTAAGGGCTTCCTGGCTACTGTCTTAGGAACAGCAAGCCCAGACCGCAAAAAGACCCACGCAGGACAAACTTGTAACCCGCTTGCTCTTCTGGAACCTCACCGCCGCCGTCACCTGGACAGTTGAAGTCAAAATACATTAGAGTGAATTCACACAATGTGTTGGGTGCTTTGTTGACCACATTAGTTAGTATCAGTTACCATCTTTGCTCACATAGCCCTTTATCTGGAATTGAGATAACTTTTATCAGGCAAGGAACCACATTTAGTAACTTACTCGGAATTTGACACCATGCTTTATTTGTGATTTAGTCTTTATTGCACATGGAACCACATTTCGCTACAATTCTTACCATAGTCCTTTATCAAGCAAGAAAACCATTTAGTAATTTAATTCTTGATCAGATCTTCATTGTGAGTCGAATTATATTTGGCAACAATAGTTTTTTGCCTAATGTCGACCTTTGAACATGGAACCATTTACGGTCTATCAGAACCATTTTTGAGAACAGTCTTTTGTCTATAATGTCTTACATCATCAGGCATGAAACTACATTTCGTGTCATACCTCTTTATCGGCTAACCTTTGTCAAACAAGAAGCCATATTTGGGAACACAATTTGTTGTCGCATAATACTTTTTCGGGGACGGAAACGTAGTCATTTCTTAGGTAATAGCTTTTTTGGGGGGTAAGGAACCACATTTGGTAACAGATCTTCATCTACTATTGCGCACGGAATCACATTTAATATTTTTCCCTGGAAATTGTGTGTATGTGTGTGCGCGTGTGTGCGGTCCTTTCTCAGCTAAATATCGACCTTGATTCGACTTGTGAACATATTTTGTAGCATATCTCTTTCAATCAGTAATCATAATGTGGCCCTTTTTGGGGCGAACGGAACCATATTTGGTCACGTCATTTCAATGTTGGGGAGAAACCGTATTCGGGAACGGCAGTTTTATCTGGCGGCGAGCCTCGTATAAAATCGTCTCTTAAAAAGGAAACACAATATAGCTTGTTGTTAGGCGATGAACTATATTTGGTAAGTTTATTGGCTGCAAGATCTTCATGAACACCGTTAGTTACATCTGGACCACCAAAATGAGAGATGTTTCAAATCTAATAGTTTTAAAGGATAGACTATTAGGGACACCAACCATAATACAAATACTGTGAATTAATAGCTTTAAAAAAAAGTCACACGTGGAGGACATGATGGAGTCCTTGTCTTTGTATGTGGCCGTGACGTCACGCCGAGGCACCCGCCACACTTACCTCACCATGTGCGTCATACGTGGGGGGAGGGGCGAAGAATGGTGGGGGGGGTATTATAGTGCCACGTCTTAATCTTTTCCATGTATATTTCTCCATTAAAATCGAGAACGGCGCGCACGTTGCCCCGCGAGCTCGTCCACCTATGCGCGTGCACGCGTGACGCGCACGACGTGAGCTGTCCGCGGTGCTGAACGACGGCGGCGGCGGCGGTGGCGGTGAACGCCCAGAAAACAAACACACGCGTCCACGCGTGACAGAGATGTGGGAAATACACGAGCAAGCGGGTGTGTGTGTGTGTGTGTGTGTGTGTGTGTGTGTGTGTGTGTGTGTGTGCGCTCGCGCAAGACGACGGGGATGAATCGGCACTTGTTGCCTTCATGTAACGTGCACGCGCCAACGTTCACATGAATTCACGGCGACCGCGCTGAATGAAATACGATGTTCATGCAGTTTTGACGATAATGGTAAAGATGCTCACCCTGTCACCTCGCATGTGGTCACCAGTGTTGCGAAGTCAAGAAAATTAAAAAAAAAATCCCTGGAAGAATTTCAGCGGTACCCACTGACGTGCAGCAGTCAGGGTGCATGCGCCCCACCAACGCGACCACCACTCGCGCTCTCACACAACCTACCGTTCGCTATCATGTTTCTTCTTCATACTGCTCTTCTTCCTCGATGCAATATGAAACAGAAAGAAAGGAAGCTCCGGACACTCAATTCCTCTAGTCTGCTGCTGCTGCTTCTTGCTGGTGACCTGCATTGACGTCATTGCGTCATTAGGTTTCCCCTGGAAACACGGGAGAGCTAAAAATAGCAACACATTAATTCAAACCCCAGGCTGAGAGAGAAAAGAGAGAGAGTTTGGGGAAGGGAGGGGGCTATTTTTTGGAGGTTGTTTTATTATGTCAATTTCTATAAGAGTTTGATTTATTTTCCATTGTTGTAGCTTTTTCTTCATGTCATGACTTATTCAAGCCCAAAATGCATGTTGCAGCATTGTCTAAACGTTTAAAACATAAAAGGAAATGCATTCAAACACGTGAGCTACGGTTTTATTTATTTATATCGTTGTGTTTTTTATTTATTTCTGAAGCCATGTATATTTTTATTCGTAAAATGAAGTACATAATACAGTTGTATACACTATGTACGATATACTCAAAAGACCTCCCCCGTGTGGCACAAAAATGTACTACCACGTTAAGTCCGCCCTACTCATATTGCCGTTAATGGGTTTAGTGAGTTTAACTAATTTCTTACGGAAGGATAAATTGCAGCTTTCAGATAACCTAATGAATCAAAATACCTTTCGTAAATTATCAGCTAATGTGACCAATCATTCACATTTCGGCGTAGGTTCTTGTTTGAATGATTAGTTCAACAATTATTCCCTCGGCGAGATTCGTAGAAATTTAAGCTCCCACGTGACACAAACGTATACTGCCACTTTAAGCATTCCCTTCTGATAACTTGCTGCTGGTTGGTTAAAAACAACAATTTAAGCAATTTATTGTTTTATGGTTAATTTGAAAACATTCACCGAACGTTTGTACAATACCAAAATGTCGTGAAAGTGCCAACTGCCATTGTATTGGCTAAAACCTAGGCCACGCCCACAATCTCGGAAGTGACCGAAGGTCGCGATGCAATCGAATACTGTTGTAATCAAATGCAAGAATGGACACCTTGCGACGGTATGTAAACAAATTATTTGAGCACAGTAACGTTTTTTAACTTATATACATGTATCTTTTCGATAATTTGAAGTGTTTATGGCCCCACACATGACACCGTCTTTAATTGTCGGTAGGTAGAGCTCGAATCACCTCATCTCGCCAGTCGCCATTGTGAAAGTCGGAGTGCCAAAACGCATTAAAAATCATAATAATTGCGTCCCATACGTGGCGGTGCTGGATAATGATGCATTTTACCTCGCGTAAATGTTTGTTATATTTGTTGTTATGTGGCCAAGATTGGGCTATGGGTCAGTAATGATGTGTTTTTAAATACAAATCTGGAGCGTGGTCAATGGCCTCATGGCAGCGCTGCTCCATTTGCCCCATCTGCTGGCCAATGACGGCAACTACACATCGATTGCTGCTGGTCTGCACTTTTGAAAATGTAGTGAAGGGTTCACAATTAGTGGCTCGGGACCCGTAAGTGGACCAATTTGGATTGTAGTAAAAAAAAAAAAAAAAAAAGTCCTTTGTTTTTGTAGACATATAACAGATATAGATTACGAGCAGTCTTTTTTTAATGATTTATGCTGTCCCAATTTTTCATTCAAAAATGTACTTAACACATCTATTTTCCATTGGGTTTTTTTAATAACCGAATCATTACTCCCAAGTTTGTTTGCATGCTTCATTTCCTAAAAAGACCAGTTACTGCAAAAAATATATAAATGGAATGTTTTGACTATAATTTCTGAAATCATGATGTGTAGTATTTTTGTACATTGTGATGTTAATCCTGTTTCTGAATATGGTGCTCTGAAAGGCACTATATACATGTGTTGTTGTGTTTAAAAATGTGGTTTAAATATTGTTTCGTCAACTTTACATTTTCTCTATTCTGACTTAGCTAAAAGTGCGCTGTGACTTGAATGAATGAATGCTTGAAAATGTTCAAATCAGTTTGTATTTCAGTGTGCAAGTGGAAATGTTGTTTTTAAATGATACATGTTAAAAAAAAAATGAAATGATCTCTATATCAGATTTCCAAATATAGAATGTAAAATGTGTGATTACTCCCAGGGCTTATTGTGAAGCCTTTAAAAGGCTCAATAAAAATCCAAACTATTGTTTGACACAACACGAGCTTCTTTGGGGAATTTGTCCTCCTCCCCGTCCGTCTCTCATTCCCGATCAAAACTTCTCAGTTCTCTTGCGTTTATAAATAAACAATCTTGATTAGTACCCCGTCCTTTGGAATTGAAATGAGGGCAAAGATCTGAGACGTCCCCTAGGAAGGCAAAGGTGGTGCAATGAGCAGAAACAGCCTTCAATCGTGACTATTCCATATTTACTTGACACAAGCGGCCCTCACTTGAAAATGACCACCAGGGGGCAGGAGTGCTCAGGAGTGTACATCTGTGGCCCCCCACCACCCCCTCTCTCCAGTCTTGACTGTGACTGCTTGGAGACGTACAGTACACTGAGACGCAGGAATGATGATTTCCTTTGGGGCGTGTAGAAATGATTACATCACACATTTGGCTACTTCCCTCTGACATCACACCTGGAACAATGTCTTCCAGACAATTCGTCCCCGAAATCTAACTGCCAGCTAAGGTGTTAAGCATATTTTCCAAAAAGTACTGACAGTCTTACATTTGTATTTTCTTTTAAGGGGCCTTTGGAGAAACCTGAACAAGGACCTTGAGTTTGAGAATTGAATGCTTATGGTGCACAATTCAATCTTCAAGGCTCTCTCTGCCCTCGACATTTTTAATTTTTAATTAATTAATTTTTTTATCGTTAATTATTTCTTGCTAGTTGCCGCGATTATAAAAAGGCTGAGAGTGGAAAGGGCGTCCCAGGGGTCGTAAATGAGTGAGTGTGTGTGTTGGATACCGACATGGGCACAGGGGGAGCACAAATTGAACGTCAAGGCTTGATTGTGCTTGTTGAAGCATACAACTATTTCCATTACGTAAAAAAAAAAAAAAAAAGAATTGGTCATAGCCCAGCGATGTCCTTCTATAGTGCGAAAGGTGATTGGCTTTTTGTTACTGCTGTCCTGACTCTTTCAGAATTAATAATAAAATCATGTATGTCCTGGCTTTCTTAGGAAACCATGAAAGTTGTGAGAGAAAAGAACGGAGAGTCGCCACCAAAAAACAAAGATCAACTACCAACCAAAACACAGGATTGACTCCAAGCGATTTTGTCGACAAGAGTTTAAGGTAAGGAATCGAACTGAACAGCCATGTGGTTTTGTAGTTGTGTGTCGAGCTGTAACCATGAATCCGATAAATCAGCTAATTCTTTAAAAACAGAAATAAATAAAGCGTCTGAAGCATAATCAAACTCTAAAAAAAAATTAACACGTAATTAGCACGTTCATCCACTGATGTCCACAAGTCACTCAACACGTCAGCCACTTCACAGCTAGCCAACTCTATGCTCCCTTTCTCTGACGCCCACGTCACTCACTGAGCCAGTCACTCCCCCTTTTAAAGGCCGACACACTCCCAACTCACGGATGCGACAGTAAAATGAGAGGATTGCAACCCCAACATGATATTGTGTTACATAATGCAAAATCAAGTTTTAACTCATAAGCTGCAGTTTTGGCAATGCGTCATATCTCAAAAAGAATATGCAGTCTCCTATTTTTTTTAGGTTTGTTGGATTTCAGGGAAAACCAAAACCTTTCTTTGGTATGAAATCCACCGGCTAATCTTTTGTTATTCTTAGCAAGTTTCGCATCCGGAAACGCGCCGACCTTGTTTATCTTAAATAGTTGATGTCGCAAGACAAAAAGAGTGTTCCGGTTGGCTCGCTAAGTGACATTTTTAGGTCAGGACACAAGTGTATGCTTTGTTTACAAGGACTGGTTGCAGGCCACTGAAGCACAGATGTTAAATTGTGGAAAGAAAAAAAAAGGCTTTGCGCATCACTTTTACAGCATTTGTAATGGTGTGCCTCGTAGTCTCAAATAAATTCTGCCTCTTATGTTATTTTCTTTTTTTGTTTTAAGCTGTGAGGTGTTATATTTGATCAAAGTGACTTTTTAAGGCGTTACACTGGCACATTTAAACGTCTCGCGTATTCTTTGGCACATACGTTAAAACACACTTAAGGAAATGACAACCATTGTGGTCCCAAACATTAGCGACCCAAAGGATTACATCCCATTTATGCATACGGCAGCGAGTGCAGGATTAGTATTATCACTCTTGTCCAATTACTCTTATCCAATTTCCATTTGCAACCCTGCTCTTTCCATCTTGTTCATTAGTGAGCGGTTACCGAATGAAGTGAAGGATGGCGCGTCATCGCCTCTTCCTCCCCTGCGCATCCTTCCAGATGGAAGGCCTTCCACTCCTCCCCGTGCCCTTTTGTCCCCCCCGCCTCTCGGCGGCGATCAATATGTCTTGTGTGCCGCGCGAGTCGCTCAGCGCTCGCTTATCTGAGTTCTATTAATATGCAGACAGAATGACACGCAGACGCGGCGGCCGAAGAGCCCTACAGTTCATTTTCCCTTTTAGCCTCGGGCCAGCCGGTGGGGAAAACGAGGAAGTTTTGAGAGGTGAAAGGGGGCTGCAGAAAACAGCTGGTGATGTATAGCATTAGTTACCTCAGCCAGTGAGATTATTCTTGTTTTGTAGCCAACTTGCTAAACGTGAGGTTGGTTTTTCGAAATATCCCGTCTTCCTTAAAAATTGGGAAAAACAAAAATGTCTTGCAGCCAAGCCATAAGACGACATAAGAGAGCGAAAGGAGAAAGTTGTACTTTCTCATTCTCACACTCAAGCAAAAAAAAAAAAAAAAACCTACAGTCGAAAAGTGCAAAGTGGTATCTTTTGAGCTCCATTTCACAATAGCAATTGCGATTAGCATCATCGCCGTCACCCCCAACTGGACAAATACCTCCAGGCTGCTCCGAAGCGGTTGTCCCGCGATCTCCCGTCGATAGCCGTCAGCGGGATAAACGGGGGAGAATGATGCATCCCCGCCCGCCCGCCCACCGTACATGGCTTCCCGCAGACAAGCGTCCTAATGAGCTCGCCGTTTATGATAACGCGCGGCGCAAAGTGATGGCGCAACATACTCATCAATGCAGTGATCCTTGGAGAAAGTCCAAAGCGTCGCATTGATCCGTTTCACGGGGCGCCAGCTGTCAAAAGCCACCTAATGGATGGTTCATCTCGGTAATGAGTGGTTTTGCTACGCGTTTTTGTCAAATGTCTCCCTTCTATGTAATTGTTGTCACATGTTGGACAGCTTTTAGCTGCTTTCACGTGTGTGGGGGAAAATAATGTTTGTCATTCCAAAACGTCCGGCCTAATAACCTGTCATATTCTCGGGCTTGCCTTTGCATCATGGACACCAATTACATTTATGTGCGGTGGGTGTCCAGTAGTACTCAGGAAGGTAAACAATTTGTCCTTGACTGATGAAATAATCGTATGTTTTTCTTCTTTTTTTTTCCCTCCCTCGAGCTATAAAAAATGTTATCCAGCTAAGTATTCAATTTAAAAAAAAAAACAGCGTTATGAGACAGATTGAACACCGGAAATGTCATCGTTGACACTTCATTCATTAAAATAAAATTTTAATGGCAATTACTGTCGCGTCTGTGTTTTTGGAAGGAGAGTTTTTGAGCTAATTTGGGGGTGCACGTTAGAAACAAGCCGCGATTAAAAAAAAAAAAAAAACAACAAAACTAATTGGCTGTTCAGCTGCACAGATTAATTGGTGTATCGATGCGTACAGTATTGCTGATATGCTTTGGGGCTACTGTTTTGTTTATTAACATGGCTCAGAATGTAGACTTTTAATCTCCATTTGTTGAAAATGGTGTCCATTAACTGTTTTCACATGGATAACTTGCCAAGCAAATATTTAGGGAATGGCTTTCACCGAAGGCATTTGCTGTGACTATGTTCAAAGTCTCGCAAGCTAGCATCTTCTTCCCACCTCATCGCACCTCTTTGTATTATTCTTCCCCCCCCGCCCCCCCTCCTAAAGTGGCGTCCCCTTCCTCCCACCTTCTTCCTCCTGCAATAAACACAAACATTTTGGACGCGCAGCTCGGCGGCCGTCAGCGGCAATCATTTCAATGCTAATTTAGCCGATGTCGCCGAGAACCAAATTCACTCTGACGGACGTGTGAGCGCTTGACGTCTTTGCAACACCGTTTGCCCCCCCATCCCCCCCCCTAAACTCTTTCATGTACCCTTTAACCTGCAAACATGATAAGCTGTCCACCGTTGTAACCGCTGTCCCTGAAAGGGTTAATTAATTATTAAAAAAAAAAAAAAAAGATATCTCGGGCCTCACTCAGATCTTAATCCAACCGCCTTCAGCACGCACACGCACGTACACAAGCATCATTTACTTTGTCCAGCTGTTGCCGCAGCACACACCTGTACATTTGCGCATAGTTCATATTTCGCACAGAATAAATGCTTCGTTAAGTTGGATTCGCCGTCAACCGTGCCTGACGTGCACCCCGGCACGGGTCACGTACGAGGCGAGGAAGGTGGGCGTACATCGACACACTTCCATCTTTTAATGCCTTCGTGCAGGGAGGAGGAGAGGGAGCGGGATTGGGGGTGGGTGGGTGGGGGGGAGATTCTCTGCATTGCAGTAGGGAGGCAGACTCCTATAGACGCAATGCACTTCCCAGGAAACATTACAATCCGTCATACTTTTAGCGACAACAATCTGGCTTTTATTCGTTGCATATTTCATGTGTTCATCATGCACTTTATACCTGCAGCCGAACTGCCAAAACGGACTGTCCAAGAGGTCAATTTGGAGTTCACCGACAATGTTTAGGAAATCAAAAAATGTTTTGAAAACAACCAAATAATTTTGCCAAAGTAGCTTCATGCGAACCGTTAAGAGACGTGCTAACAAATTGCATCCATGTCACGGTGCACAACCCTTATCACAGCTATTTGAACACAGACATTGGAGAAAACACACGTTGACAATATAACAGTACTCGCGGGCATATATTCTTTATCAACTGCAAAGAATGACTACAATAACTGCTGCACTGTAAGCCTGAATTATACTGGCACCCGTTTTATGATGAAACCATTTGGAGTTCTAAAATTGTAATCTTTAATAATCGAGTGCAAACCACTGCGGTTTTTTTTTTGTTTTGTTTTTTTAATTCAGTTTGTCATGTCGTGCTCTGAGTGTGCTTTCTGACTAAATTCAATGCGGAACGTGCTAGTTCAGCTTTTTTTGCAGCCTTTCTCGTCGTGTCAACCTGCATTTGAGTAGATGACAAAGTGGGGTCCGCATAGTACAACGCACAACACACACACACACACACACACACACGGCTGGGTTCATGTACCTTTCCCGCTCCCTCTTCCGCCTCTCACACTTTCGCCTCAGAGACCTTTTCCCGCCCCTGTCTTCTTCTTTTCCCATCATGGCTCTCCTTCCTGATACCTTTTGCCAGGCCGGAGCCCTCCCGCCTCTCCTTCCCGCCTAGCGCTTCCATTTCCTCCTCCTCCCCAGAGGCTCCGTCTCCACCGTCGGGATCAGAGGCCGCTCCCACTCGATATCTCCCACCTTGTCAGGCCGCCGGCTGGACCCCTTTCATTGATCCTCCAGCCGGCGTCGAAGCCAACCGGCGTTTGTTTGTGTGTCGCGCACACAAATCGATGCGGCATGATCATCATTTGTGTGTCGACGTGTCGCCGCCCGGTCGTCTTGACCCTTGCCGATTCCCGTTGGTATTTCCAGTCGAGCTGTATTGATGAAAACGCGCTGAAGAGCGGAAGGGGAGTTGATGGAACCCATCCATATATGAACGTCATTCATAGCTTGTGACATTACATTTTCGCAGTACATAAACTTTAAGTAATTTATATATAGAGTGTAATGATGCAAAAAAAAAGTACATTCGACCGCCCTGCATATTTGTTTGAATTACGACTTTAAGCATGGCTATCTGTCTTTCTGCTGTTGTTCACTTTAACCTCAAGGTTATTTAGGAGCAACTTGATTTATTTACCATTAGCTTGTCTCTCTGTCCCGCGTCCACCCCCCAGGCCGCTGAGTCGGCATGTATCCGCTACACTTTTAGCACAACTTCCTGTGACACTTCTTGTACAGTGTGTGTGTGTGTGTGTGTGTGTGTGTGTGTGTGTGTGTGTGTGTGTGTGTGTGTGTGTGTGCGCGTGCGTGTGTGGTGCAAAAAAAAATGACCTAGCTGTCCACGTACGAAGCCGGCAACGCGCGACGCTGGCCATTTGGCTGCAGGCTTCCGCTTGATGTGCATTGTCATTGTCAAGACTCCTCAGTGGACACACACACACACACACACACACACACACACACACACACACACACACACACACACACACACACGTGTAGACCAAAAGCGTCGGCACAGTGCATTTGGGCCACACCAGCCTCCACCACCATGCATCCAAAGTGCAAAGAGAAGGGGGTGTTCTGACGCAACGCGTTTGCAAGACGACTCGAGAGTCGCCTTGAAGAAACTTCAAGTCGTCTCGGCGGCCCATCAAAACGCAGACGCTCACGCATGCACAACTGTCACTTTTGTTTGTTTGTGTCATATTACCTAAGGACATAACATGGACTAAAAATACGACCACCCTCCTCAATAACTTTTTTTTTTAATTGAGATACAGTAGCTGGAAAAGTCTTCTTCATTTGCACCTGTGTGACTGTATTATACTGCCCCTGGTGGCTAAATTGAAAATTTTTTAATGTTCACAACCTAACACTGGTTGTGTTTTTTTTCCTGCAGGAAATTTCAGCCCAGCCGTCAGTGGAAGACATTTGAGGAAGCAGCCTTGACTTCCAAGCGACGGTAAGCCTCAACTATATAGACATCACTGTACAAAAAAATGATTCATCCCCATTCCAAAACAAGTGATTCTCAGCTGTACAAAATGAGAAAAAAAATGTGAGTAATGAAGGCAAAGTGGAGCGTTTGGTTGTGTAACGTTTTCGCACAGTGTGCGCAATCCATTCTCTGCGTGCCACCTTCCCGCCTCAGGGGTGAGCGCTTTTTCAGGGGGAAGAGGGAGGAGGCAAATCCGTCTCAATTCTCCCATCATTGCGTTTCTCACTGTCTCCCTCTTGAAGAAGGGATGTTGTTGTGATGAGCCGCGCTGCCAATTTGGTGTCTCCTCCCTGCCACCTGTCTCTCCATTGTCCACTTGTAAAGTCAAAATCGATCCCCTCTGTGTTGACGGTTGAAATGATGAATTGGACTGGCTGCGGCTGTGCTTGCCGCAGCGGTGGGAGCAAACATGCTGTAAGGGAGAAAAAAAAAAGAAAAACCAAACAACACAAAGCCAGTTGGATTGCGAATGGCAATGAAACTGTGTCACTGAACCAGGGTGAGCTGCCAAATATGGGCGTGGCTTATCAAAGTTAAGCCTCTTTTTCGAACAGCGCAGGATGCCAAACACGCGCGCAGACCACTCCGACACACTCGCACACCCGGTGCCAATTTAACAGGTGTTACATAACTACAGCGTTATTGAAATCGCCCTCCTCCGGAGAGAAACGGAAGGCGCAATCACAGGAATGGAAGTTGGCTTCTGATGGCATAAACAAAGCCATAAATTTGTCAACCATCACCCCGTCGCTCGTTCCCGCCGCCGCGCAGCGCTCCCCGGACATCCTCTCGGCCGCAGAACAGTTTCCGCTCCGCTGATTTGCCCTCCCCCGCCCCCGAAATTTCCATCCAAACTTGGAGGCGAGGGTCCAACCTCTCCCTCGGCATCAAAGTTTTAAGGCTGAAGGGATTGTGCTTCGTGCGTTTTGGTGCCTCGCGGATATTTCCTCAAAGCTAAGAGTGCTCGCTAGGCCGAGTCCTTTCACCGCTGCAATGGCAGCTACTGCCAAGCTGCTTGTGCTGAACACACTCCAGAGAAAGACTGAAAGTCAACAGCTCGATGTTAACCTGGATGGCCAAGAAGCGACTAAATTGATCCACAAAAAAAAGTGCACTCGGTCCTGATAGTCTCCCTGCTCGTTCAAAAACGGTGGTACGACTTGTGCGCCGTCACTTGCTTTTTGGTGTTGAAATTGAAACAAGTGAGCAGTGCACGTAGGCAGATCATATAATGATACTCACCGGCCTGTATTCTTCAAAATTATGTGCAAAGCTACAGTCCACCCCCCCACCCCCATGACCGTTTGCGAGCCAGCTGCGATGGCGCGCTAATGACGCCGAGAAATCATGCTGTCAGCACATCCTCTGAGCCGCCAGGGCCGCCGGAGCACGCTTACATAACAGAGCTGGCCCCCGCCCCGCCGCCTTGTCGAGCCCTCGTGGTTATTAGAGGGCGGAATGAGAGGCAAAAGAGGACAGATAGAGGAGGAGAGGTTCCGGAATGAAGTCAGCATATGCTCATTGCACCCCCCCCCCCCTTTGGGCAGCATCTTGTACTTGCTGTACAATTTTCCCACTGATCCATTTTCTGCTACTTACCCCGTTCAGGATTGTACATTGCTGGAGTCTATCCCAGTTGATATAGACTGTAAGGTGGGGCACTCTCGGTGACCTACCGAGTACCCATCCATCCCTTTTATCCAGTTCAGGGTCGCGAGGAGCCGGATCCCAGTTGAGTGGGTCAAACTCTGGTGTCGTGTGAGCCACCACAGTATCAGTGACCCATCTTGCAGCAACACTATTGTTTTCTTTCCTCAAACCCGAGTGTTATTGTGAGACTGCTTCCAAAGAATCATTTCCATCTAATGCTAGACTTGCGCTCCTCAATAGAGTCCACACAATGATATCATAGCCTCCCACCACTACCCCCCCTTGAATGCAGCCTGACACCATAAGCCAAGGTGTGCTGCATATTTAGCTTCCTAAGAGACTTCCGGTGAGGCTTTTTCCATGACTCAGCGCTACGTGGTGGGCTGGCCCGAGCACCGCGGCGGACCCTAATTAGCCAACCGCTAATTAAGCCCAATTAGAGGATTAATGAACACGTCGGGTGAGTGCGGGGGAAGAGACCTCCCATTTGCTTCAACTACCCGCAGGCGCTCTATCCCGGCTGGTGTTTTCGGCGTATCCTCTAAGACTTGTCTAAAAGTGTGGATTCTTTGAAACAATCGCAATCTAATCTCCATTACTCAGCTGCACAAGGCGAGGTCACATGGGACGCCGCGAGCGCAGGAAATAATAATATGGGTGCACTCCGAAGCAGCTCGCCGGCCTTGTAAAACAAAGTCGTCCGACTTAAAACATTACGAGGGCTGCAGCACATCGCGGCGAGGCGCTTTATAACACAAACCTGTCGAGCCAGCTCGAAGGCAACGCGGCCGTGCGGCGCTCTTATTTGTTATTGCGGAAGGGGTGTAAACAAAACACTCCCAGGGTCCACCCGTAAATATTCTGAGACGCATTAGAATATGCTCGAGAGCAACAAATAGAATTGTCACACGCCGAGCGAAATCTTCATCGGGAAGCTTCCCGCATCTCACTTTGCCCTCTCTGCCGACTTGCTCCGCTGTCAAATCTCCCACCGGTATCCCCGCGGTGCTCATCGCTCGGCAGTCAGCTCCTTTGCTGCGTCGTATTTATATGCCTCTAAAACTTTTAAGCACGTCTTCACCAGACCCGCCGCCGCACTATGCTATGCTGCTGTCACAGCAGTAAGGCTTATAAGGCTCCGGAAAAGAAAAAAAAAAAAACAAGCAGTGCCGAACAGCCTCGAGGTAGTAAATGGGCTTTCACCTGCTTTGCATTTTTCGATCTTCAAGGTACTCATAGCAGTTCGACACTCTCTCCTCATTCACCTTCTGGGGCCACTGGGGGTTCAATATCTTGCTCGTTGTGACTTAAGACAGCAACGATTCACACGTTGCGTAATAGCCCTCAATCATCGACTTCACTCCAGCATGGCTGACTTGCTGTGCGCATCAAAGCAAGAATTTTCGAGACCGAATCTCGACTCACTCGCGGCGAAGACATTCAGTGCTAGTGCAAAGATCCCCCCGTGCTTGCTAAAAAAAAATTTCCTTGATTTCTGTCGAGATTCTTTGTCATCCAGGTCCTTTTCTTTTTCTTCAAGCCGTCTTCCCGTGCGTTTTACAACATTTGCGGTTCGTGAGACTATGACCTTGGTTCATTATACAAGCATCCTTGGCTGTTTTACAAAGAAATCCTCATTTATATTCAGCATTTGCAGACACGCTGCGCACGCCTGACAAGCTTCTCGGGGCTCGCTGCACCGCACGCAGCGGGAAGCCATCACCCATGGGCGTGCGTACTGCAGCGGCGTGGGGGGGGGGGGGCGGATGCAACTTCACTTGAGAGAGTGACGGCGCTATGACGGAGACGACATGAAAATAACGCAGGGAGAAATGTGGCCATGATGAAGAATCAGGAGAGGTGGGAATGGTGTGTGTGCCGTTTCCACTTGTTTCCTGACAGGGGCAGCAAAGATGCAGATCTCAATTAGTAACTGTTTACACACACACACACACACACACACACACACACACACACACACAAACACACACACACAAGTATTCTCACCTCAATTTTGCCGACGAAGGCCCAGGAGCTGTCGGCGGGAACCCCCCCTGCGAAATCGTCTTTGTGTGTCCCGCCGTTTAATAAGCGACATTGTCAGTGAGCAGGTGATGTGCGCTGACAGTTCCAAGTAGCCAAGGCTAATTGGCGCCGACTGACTGGAGAGCGAGCGCGCCGCAGCTCTGCCGGGCGGCGGGATGCGGTCGCTTCTTCTTGGTCCGTGATCTTAAATCAATATCAAGTGGGGGGCTTGTCTTTCTTCTGTTTGGAAGCTCCCACCACACTGCGTCTCCAGAAAGCATTCTACTCAAGAGTAGCCGTGGTCATATCACTGGTGCTTGATTTCATTTGTTTCCAGACAAAGCATGACAGCAGTCGTCAGAAGCCGCCGATTGCTGCATTCCGTGCGTTGTCTCTGTACTCTCTGGCCTTGATCAATATTTTAGCGGACGCGTTACGCAACCGCACTAATGTGCTGTGTAAGTGTGCAAATGTGCCCGTGCTTGACATTTGGCTGAAATGTCTTTCATGCTGACACAGCCACAGAGGAGCGGCGCCCCCCCCAGCTAGCCAGCCCACCCCCTCCACCAGAGGCCGCGACCGCTGTGACGCATCAGTGCGTGCCTGCTGACCGTGGTCGTCACGAGGAGCATGAGGGGCAGCGGGGGCTTTCATGCTGGCAGACCGTGTCCGTCACTACAGGTGCCACAGGTGAGTCACTTGCCCGCGGGGCGTGCTGTGGAATCGGTGCACACTCCAGTTGTAATTGAGTAGCTCATAAAATTCAACTGAATCACCGCCTTTAAAAAAAATATTAAAATTTAAAAATCTCGCAAGTCACCGTACAATAACAGTAAAACCAAAAAACATGCCTAAAATGACAGAAGAAGTCGGCCATTTTCAGGGGATTTCTTTCCTTGTAGCAGTTCTCTGAACAAATTTGAACCGCATCTACTAGACAGATAACTCCAAATGGGGTTTAGGCCATTTTGTGTGGTTGGAGAATAGCAGTGAAGGTACATTGATATTTATTATATGTCAATTTGACCTGGATTAACGTCCGCGTTGTTTGTCCCAAGTATTGCCTCCATTCGATACTGGCGAGTTCAAATCTCCTCTGGCTCTCAATTTTCTCCAAGCCGGAGGATAATTAATGTAGCCTGCGTACTGGCAAGCAATTAGTAAATAATGAACTCGCTTGCTTTCTTTCCCACTTAATGAAGTCTTTTTTTACTCCCCTGACAAACAGCCTCGGTAAACCTCTTGATCAACTCCCCCGCTATGCATGCACAGGCCACTCTGAGGTTCCTCAGCTTGAGGCCGCGCGGTCTCGGCGGACCCCCGGCGCAGTGCATTACTGTGCCCTTAATTGTTAGCATCACGCTAATCTGAGCCTTGTAGTCAATAAGCAGTCGGCGCCAAAGAAACATCAGAGTGTGGCAGCTTGAATTTACGCGTGCGCCTTGGGAGACAGCCAGTTTGGTTTTCGCTTTCTGCCGAGTCAACAAGTACCGGATGTCAACTTTTAGGCTATGTGAGTTCATTTCCCCACACATGGCATCATACTTTTTACATTCTACGTGGAGTCAGGATTAATCAGTTTTTTAAAATCAATTTGGTAACTGAAATGTAAATCAGTCTTAACCTATCAATACAGTTGTATCGATTAGGCACCGTGTCTCAAAGTGACGGAGGCTTCATTGATTTTAAGACTCAACTTATTAAAGGACGCTCCTGCTTCAGATTTATGTTACTTGTTTAGATGGGTTGCGGTAGAACAAAAAAGAAAACGTTAGTCATGGTACCATTTAGAGCTTAAAAATAAAAAAGTTCTTGCTTTAAAAAAGAAAAGCAAGTTTAATAACAATCACGTTGTCACTCCACACTCCATTCTTGTCATCTTAATGTATTCTTGTGTGTCGGGCATCCCGAAGCCGCCCTGCGAGAGACGCGGGCATCGGGCTCCGGGGGAGTTCTCTCTCGGCCGCGGTGCTAATTGCGGCGCGGGATCGAGTCTGGGCCAGATGGAGGCAAGATAGCGCAAATTGATTCCTTGCATTCGTCTTCATTAAGCCTTCCCCTCTGGAATGGGGGGGGGGGCACTTGTAGACTTCTGACACTGTAAGAATCTTCCAAACTCTCGCGGTACGGGACGGCAATTGGGTGTCAAACCGTCAAAAGGGTAACGCTGCCTTTACCTCAGGTTTCTCGCCTCCTCCGACTCGCAATCAACCATGCACCGCTCTCGGTACCCAACGGCAGCGCAAGAGCCCGTTCTCTGCCACTTTCAATTACAGGTTTCCAAGCTCGCGCTAACAAGGCCCGGAAGGTGCAACGTGCCGTAGTCGTGCGCTAAGGGCGCAAAAGTTTCCATAAAAGTAACAAACCAGTGGAATAGAAAAAAAAAATGCAATGGTTTTGATGATGGTGTTGTAACTCGGCAGTAAGTGAATTGGGGAAAAAGGGGTTCATGTTTGTTGCCGTATCGCCTCCACGCTGTACATTGGGCCGTAGCTAGCTTGCTTGAATGGTGCCATGTAAGCAGGAAGTTTATCTTGTCATATTTTGCTCAAGCATTTATTTACTAATCTAAATTTTCCTACTGCGCTACTCGGATTATGCGCCAGCGGATTAAAAAGGAAGGCGGGAAGGTGACTTCAGCTTGTCACCAAGTTGGGTATTATTTTTTTATTCTTATTTTTTTTTTCTACCTCTCACACACTCACACTTGTCCATCCTTCTCAAGTTTAATTCCCCTTCCATCCATCCATGCGTCCATCCATCCATCCGCTCCCTTATCAAGCTCCCGCTCTGTTCTCTAGTGTTCTGCGCTGACATTAAGCTGCTTAGTGCTCGTCAGGTGGCGGCGGAGGCCGAGTTTGACTGTCATTCCCTATAAACAGGTACTTTGTGAGTCGCAGCCTCAGCGACTGCTTTCCGCTGCGCGCGCCGCTGTGATTTATGTGCCCACAGCCTGCTAACATAATGCACGCAGCATCGCGGGCAGCTCTCCAAGCCCACAATCTGAGCCCATGAATTATTCCCCCCGTCGTCGCGTACACGCTCTACATATCCCGCATCTCTTTGCCGTGACGCCGCGGTTGGCGTCTTTTGCGTCTGGCTTGTAATTTACATGAGGGGGGGAACTTCGTATGGAGTCAGTTCATTACCAGGTGAGAAAATAGTTTGTGTGTGCCTCCACGAAAAGTCATAAGAGAGCCGCAACTGTGTTGTACAATTTTTTGAGGGCTTGCCAGCCTCATTAGTGCATCAAAAACCAGCAAGCTCATTCGGCCTTCATTAAAATTTTGCATGGTTGTGAAAATGTGCACGATTAAATGGCTGCAATCTATATCTGAATTGATACGGACTTGGCCATGATTGAGGACTTGGCCACAAAGGATATATTTCAGGTGCAAAGTATGAGTCTCCCCCCTTCAATGTGGGCCATACGATTAACCGGCACGTCCGGCAAAAGATCCTGCAGCATCGGTTTCAATCACAACAGAGAGTTGTGGCAGGACAACTCATTGCTAGTCACCTGGCTGTCTATGTGATTTTTTTTTTTCTTTCCCAAGCTCAAGGGGGTCATCGAGGGGACCTGATTTGAAGATGCGAACGACATCAAAGTGGTTTATGAAGACGGCGCTGCGATCCATGGGAAACCCTTCCAGGAGTTCATGAAGGTATGGCAAGAGAAGGCCGGGGAAGTGCGTTAAGACTCCCGGGGATTACTTGCAAAGGGAAAAATTGAGGTCGTAGGTTGGATTTGAAGTCATTCTTTCTTTCGTCAAAACCAATCCCGGAACTGTGCTGACACACCTTGTGTCTTTCGATCACAATGTTTTTAGATTCACGCGGCGGCCCGCTCGGGCGGCAAACTAGAAATATGACTTCACACGAAAGCCGATTATTTTTGCGACTCCATATTAGCAATTCCCTTTTGCTATCTTGTCTTTTGTCCTCGTTTCCTGCCTGGAGCTGGTTGAGTGTATGCTACAGCTAAGCCTTGGGCGTGGATGTACAGCTCCTACTTTTGCATTTTGAATTCCATCTGATGTGGAGCCGGGGGGTTCCTCTATCCCTCTCGTGCTTGCTTGCGCCTTTGGAGTTGACCTTAGAACGTCTTCACATCCGCCGAATGCCTCTGGTTGGCCGCATTGATGCTGAGGGCCACCGGGTCAGCTGAACGAACAGCATTAAAAGCGAAACCTCGATCAGGATATCATATTTACCATTTCCTATTGCCGGTGACTCCCGCTGTGTGTCCCTCGCTTGTTTTCATTCTCCCGTCCCCTTCCTCGCTGGTGTTCATTTTATCAGGCTTGCTGTTGCGGCGACCGACAGCTTTGCCGTCAGGCGACCGCAGAGCGCCGTTTGACATGGATATTAGATCTGCCAATCACAGCATTGCAAGTCATTCGGCTCGTTGCTTTGAACAAAAGGGAGCCTATAAGCATTAGCAGGCTAACGTAGTTTCAGATACAGCCGGCGTGTCATCAGGGGGACAGACAAAACAGATGCTGAGAGTCACTCGTCCAGGGGCAGGTACTTTACGTACTGCAGCGTGTTTTGCAAAGGGACCACACATGCACTTCGGCAGGGTGAATTATTGGCGTGACAATCAGTGCTGGCGCTTGATCAGAAAATAATCGAGTCACCTTTTAGTTAATGGAGTATTTCTATTCGTAGTCAAGCGTAGAATTTTTTTTTAAAGAATGTATCTGGCCTTTAAAAATTTAATTTTGTGTCAATGTCTTTCACGGTTGCTAATGTGATTCTTCACCTCAATATTTTATGCGCTTCACTTCCTTACTTCCTCACCGGCGCTCAAGCGGTCGGGATTCTCCGCCAACCCTCTCCATGGGTGTCGGTGCCTCCATTCCGGGCCTTGAAGGAAAAGGTCAGCATGTTAAATTCAGAAACCTGTTGCTTTTTAGGTCACCGTTCTCTTGACCAGGAAGTATATAAACCCCTCCTCAAGTAGGAGGTCCCCTTTTTTTTCTTGCCATTGACATTATCAAAAACTACTTAACGATTTTCTCCCGCGCAGTCTTACCGGCATTTGACGAGCTCTTCAAAGCGACGCAAAAGGCAAATTCGGCCAATAAAATCAGGATATGAAAGGAAGTCGCAGAGGAGGTGATAAAGCTTGAAAAGGCCAGTCGTGTAAAATGAGTGAGTTTGCCAGCGCGCTCAGGCATTACACCCACAAAGGCTCCTTAATTCTCCATCGCCGCACTATCTCCGCTTTGCTTGTTGCCATTTATTTCCCGTCGCTTGTCAGCCGCGTTGCCATTATGTCTCTAAAATATACCCCGAGTGCAACAATGCGGGCTGACTTCTGGGACAATGTGGATTAAAGAAACACGGAAACGAGCAAAAGAGCCGAAGAGAGAGTAGATTAGCGGCTATATTTATCAAAGACGATGGATGGGAGATTAAAAATGACAATGTACTTCATAATATCTGATTTATTCATCCAGGTGACTGCCTCGATATGTTTCTATATCCTCCCGTCGGCCTATCCGTTAATCCCTTAAACCCGTCTCCGGCTTTGTCGGCTCCCGTGACGCCCGCCGTCCCCCGCAGTTTACGTGAACATATGCGCAAAACGCGCCCGGCCGAGCGCGTCATCTGACCTGCCCGTACGTCGGAATCCCACGCGACCAGCTAACACTTGGCAGCCTCGTCTGTGAACTCGCGTTAACCTTCCTTCCCCCCCAACATCACCACTTTTCCAGATCCAAAGTTCATACTCGCTCCTTTGATCAGTCGTGTTTGTCGCTCACGTTCCACTTGCGCATCCACAGGTGGGAAATTAGTGGCGCCCCGTCTCCCGCGGAGCTATTATTCTCACATCATTTGCTTTTGCTCCAAACAGATGGCATGTGAAAAGTCACGAGGAGACGAGTAAAGTTTTATCGGAGACGTGATAAAAGCCCGTATCGTTTTATGCCGAAGAAAAGGGGAGACAAACCTGCCGCTCATCACGTAGGGTTTGGTTAGAGCCTCCTGTATTTTCAAGCGCTGACATTTTTCAACCATTTCAATATCAAATCATCTACTTTGGTGGTTATCAGACTCAGTCAAGTTTGAATGGTGTAAGGTCAGTGACACTTTCTGGAAACCTACTTTGGCATATCAAGGCCATGATGTCCGCATCCTAGGCTTTGCAATTTCTTACCAACTTGGGTTCACAATCCAATTTTCTCCATCTCTGATTTTGTCTTTTTATTTTTCCTTTTGAGGCCTCTCTGAGGTATCGAAGGCCTTTTGGTCTTTCAAACTTCACTCATGAAAGATGTTGACATTTTGGTAATACACCACAGTTGCTGATCTGTGTCCGCACTTTGACCTTGTTGTGTCTTCAGGGACTCTTCTCATCTCGTTCCATCTGTATGCACATTTTTTTTTTTTTTTTAGTCCCCCGTCTGTGCAGTGTTTGCGAATGGATGGTGGCGTGAACTTTTCCGGGTCACTTAGCGCATTAGGAACTTCTGATTTCTTTTTTGCGAGTGGCTTCAATGATCGGCGCCTCCTCGAATGGGTCTCATCTTCCTGCTGATGAATGCCCGGCGCGATCACAGCGCGAGAAGGCTCAGGCCAAAGTGCAAAGAGAGCCTGGCACCGTAATGGCAGTCATTTGTCGCTGCCACATTGGCCCAGGAATTGAATAAGTCCATCATGATTGCAAAATCCGTTCCCAGACTTTTTTTTTTTTTTTTAAATACCAAGTCATGATTATGGTCTAAATTCTACTGACAAAAGCAAAGGCTGCGTTAGTGAATGTAACTCATGTGATCGTCTGTTTGTTGTCGCGTTTTAGGGTTAGCTGTTAATTTGCGTAAAAAAAGCTTTGTTCTCGCGTATGTAATCGGATGTTGTACAATATGTATGCAAACATCTGCACCCGCTTGCTCGATTTAGAAAACTATCCCCCAAAAAAATCTGGTGGGGTTTTCCAATAAACAAAATTCCCAATCAGTATTCCCGGCGAGTTTCTCTTGACATACCCCCCCTGCTTGATGCTCGACCTTGACGAATCGGCACACCCTCCACGCAAACAGTGAATTGCGCTGATGGGTTGCATGCTTGAGGGAGTCATGAATTTAGAGCCTCAGCCAGCACCAGCGAAGGACGCCACTCTCAGCAGTTAGCCCTCTCTCCGATTGCTTAATAGGCTCCTTTGCGTTGAATCCCAATGTCCCTTTCGACAGTCGGCATTCGAAAAATGGAATGCGCCAAGATGGCAATCACATCCATCATTTTCTTTGGCCAAAATCCACAACTGCAATGCACAGAATTTTAATCTAATATGATTGGCTTGTTTAATTGACACAAATTTGCACTTTGTACCGTTTAGCCCCTTACATCTGTCGGAGCAGCCAACCCATCGTCATCCCCTTTAATCAATTGCCAATCACTTAAAGAGGGCAAAAGATGTATCTATTGATCGAGACTGCAAAAAATCAATAGCAGAAGTGGGTAGCGCTGCGCCTGCGAAGAAACAATTCACTCGAATGGCGGCCCGAACGAGTTTTAGAGTCTGCTGAATGGCTGCTGATGAGATGCGAGGCGTGTTGGAGGATGTAGACATCGAAAATCGGCTGAGTAGGGGCTGGCCCTTCAGGCGCAAGTAACCCCAACCATTGTAGCCTCACCCTCAGATTTGCAATTGTCATTCTGACAAGCTCGTTTTAATGCAGCCTTGAAAATCTTTTTTTTTTTTTTTTTGGGAGGTGGAATTATACGCCATGTACTTGAACCCCCCTCCCTCGTTCGCCGTCTGCGTTCGACAACTTTGAAACAATAGCTAATTCAATCAGGCGCGTGGATTTGCTAAGCCTCTAATCCACTTGCGTCATTTTATGTAAGTGTCCACGCGGTGACATCTGCATTACGCACATTCCTCTTTTGTGTGAGTGCTAAAACACTTTTCCTGGACTGAAAATTTCCATTTCCCTGCCAGAAACCTCGCCAAAGTAAAGAGAGAAAAGGCGGGGGGGGGTGGGTGTAAGCAGGTGGTGTGAAAAGAAAGTTCTCTTGGTATCAAGTTGAGTGTGAGTCTTTTTGTAATGGGCACATGTTGTGATTTTTTTTTTTTATGTGCTTTTTCATCCGTCTGTTCACTCCCTTAACCTGATATTTTTGTGAAGATTCTGAAGGCTTTGGTCACTGTCCGCTGAATGGCAACAAACCTTCTCAAGGCTCTTTGCTGTCTCATACCGAGCTTTTATCATCTCTCAGCATCCGCGGTTGAGGTTATAAATAACCTTTCGAAGGTTATAAAACCTTTTTTTTTCTTCCCCGAGCGTTTGTCCTTAGCGCCCTGTGATCCGCATCGTTTTACATTCAAACGCATTTCCGTAGATATCTTTCGCTTTCCTCCGTTTCCTAAAAAAAGAGGAGCTGATTTGCGCTGTCTGCATGTGAGCACAAATATAAAATGATATGAAATCTCCCGATTCACTGCTGCACTTCTTTAACCCTGTCACCTGATAACAGGATAAGCTGTCCACCGTAGTAACCGCTGTCCCTGAGAGGGTTTAAGAAGAATTTGTGAAAATCTTGTCCAGGTTATGTAAGCACAAAGCATGACAGTCCACGTATCATAAACCACAATTAGATTTGGGGGCAGGGGGATAGGAATATTATTTACATATTCTATGAATAAAACCGTTTCGGTTACAGTCAGATTTTTGTTTCAAATCCTCCTAAATTCCAAACGTTTCGTAATGCCAAAGGGGGAAAAAAAAAAGCCATACAGGGACACTTGGAGTGCTCGGGGGGGCCAACAGAGAGCAAGGACGCAGGCTGTAATTACACCACTGACTGGCTGCTCTCTAAAGCAGGGAGCACCGTTGTTCCAGGGAGAATAGTGCGCATACATCCATGCCGTAGTGTGTGTGTGTTGGGAGAAGGATTGCAGATAAAAAAAATACACTAAATAAAAATTGCAATGTGTGCTGAGGCACTGAAGGATAAACTGTCCCATTTCCAGAAGGAACTGCACAAGCCGTTTCGGAGTTCACCGTCACAATGTCTCCTGTTTGTGCAAACAGATCAAATTTCGTACGCAGTGAGTCGTACAAAGTGCCTTTTCTTTTTTTTGACACAATGGGACCTAAAAATGTCGGTTGTGAGAGAAGCGCGAGGAGGCGCCAGATAATCTCGGCAGCTCATAAGAGTGCATTTGAGGGTAAATGTCCTTTAACATGATATTGCAACTAGTTGCAGACACGAGCAAGTTAATAGAAAGGCTGTTTTCAGTTCAGCTTATTTTCCTCGCGATTATCTGCCATGGGGGCTACCAGGTGGCAAAGCAAGCATGGAAGTTGAAAGGAATGGACGCTCGCTTTTCTCTTGTTCCGTTCTTGCGGCCATCCATTTAATTCTGCTTATCGGGGTCAGGTCGCCAAGGCAGCATCTTAAGTCGAGAAGACTTTTCCCCATAGCCTACAGACCCATTCCAAATGCTAGCCGCCATCAATGTGATCTCATAAAACGTGAAAATTCACCCCGGTGTTTTAAGTCCAAAGCAGACTGGTTGGATTGTGCAATAATTATGTTTTTGTTTTTTTTTTTCCCCTGCAGTACAAATGGAGCTTCTCATATATCTGAAGGACGGCGGTCACCCCCGTGGCAAGATCATCTCAGCCCAGTAAGTGCGAGATACCGTCACTCAGTCACCTGATGTAACCCTCCGGTTCAAACGATTGCGCCTTGGCTCGTCGACTGTCGCACGAGAAGCAAATGTGTGACGCGCTTTGTGATGATGGCAATGCGCGAAAGCGTTTGATGGCGTGCATCCAAATCCTTACCAAGCCTACAATCGTGCGCTCGATATCAATTGTCTAACCTCTACCTGAGGTGTGTAGAAGACATGGAAACATTTGCTCTCGCCGTTGAAATGAACATTTGTTGTCATTTTGTGCAATGTTCGTGGCTTTTGGGGGAGTGGGCGCAGCAGACTTTGCCCAACATGTCTTTTAATCCATGTATCGAGAAACCATCAGCTGTTAATATTCACATCGTACCCCATGCGGGTGAGATAAAACGGAAATAAGCCCACAGTCGAGAAATAAAACGGGAGATGGGGAGTTGCGGGGTGAGGCGAAATAACATTTCCATCGGCGGTGCCGCTCATAAATATTATAATTGTGTGGTTATAGAAAAGGAGCGCTGCCGGTGGTGTGTCGCGCTCGGTGATTGACTTTGAGCGAACGCCGTCTCACCTTTTTGAATGAACCGAACACCGTCGACAAGAAGTAATAATGCCATTTGTGAATTCAGCCGATCCCACCAAGACAAAAATACCTCTGTCCAGGCCACAAATTGTAACTCACTCAGCGAGAGCCGCAAGTCCAGCCGCTCTTCCTCGGTAGGTCGTCTCCACTTTTAATGGGGCTTTAATTTACACAGAGTGCCCCCGAAGTGTTGGGGAGCCTCGGGCATAAGTGATTCCTTAAATGAAGCACCAATCACCTAATAGCCTCCCAATTCCCGCCACTCAGCGTGCTATCGGCCCAATCAGGACCCCGCTGAGATAGAGACGCTTGACTTTGCGGGCTACCCGTGCCTGGTTTGAGTCATTTACTGCTTCCCTCAGCCAGAAAGGGTTTTAAACATGTATTTTTTTTTTTCATGGCTCAGTCGCCGTAGACGGCTTTTCTGGCTCACCGAGCAGGTCAAATTGCTGAAACTGAAGTCTTTAGGTCAATTTAACTGTAGCAAATGAATAGAGATTAGTGCCGGGCAGGTAGATGATGGGCAGATTTCACAGATGAAATACGCTCTTAAAGAGCAGAGGAGACAAACATATTAAAAGTCAGGCTGAACTTTGAGAAAGAAGAAGCGGTTGAAAAGTGGCAGACACTGACTGCTCCGTGCCATTCTTGATGCCCTTTGATATTTTCTTTGCACATTTAAATCCCCCCCCTCCACATTCTGCAGCGTTCAGTGTCTAGGTTTCAACCCGATGACTTCTCACCGGCGATGTCGCAAAACAACCTTTTGTTTGCACACCTCGGCAAATTTAGCATCCAATTTGGCGGAGATTTTATGCCTTCTAAAGATATCTTTAGAAACCATGTTTAATTGCAGCAAAGGCTTTCTCGTTGTTTCGAGATGTCTTGAGGCTGCGCCGTCAATCATTTGTGTACAATGACGATGACGATGATATAAATCTCTTACACGAGCATCGGTTGGATTTTATATCGTGTCTGTAGACAGATATTTCATATTCGTGACAGCGGGCTTGAATACATCCTCGTGTCTGTATCTTGCATGACAATTACTGCCTTACATAAGCCAGCCCACTTTGTCCATTCGCCGCAACCCGCCGAAACCTCGCGCGACCCGCCGTCCGCTTAGCGGGGCCTCAAATGACACCCTCTGAAATGAATGTCTGATTAATCGGCAGAACCGTCAAAAGACTTCAGCCAAAACCGTCATCAAGGTGCAAGGGTGGGGTGTGTGTGTGTGGGGGGGTTGTATTTAATCAAGCCCTCTTGTAATATATGGCACCATTTTTGTGGCACGCAGTGGATGGGTATGCGGGGGGCGAGTGCAACATGCCCACAAGCGTGGATGTAAAACAAAAAGTGAGCGGGCGTCATTTTGTCCTGCGGGATTTTCGGGGACATGTTCCCTCCTAGAAGTTATGCGTTTGGTTGCTTTTATCACTTTTGGCGTGAACATATATACGTCTTGTCCAAAGCAAGTCACCGGCAAGCGGCGCGATGTCGTCCGTCCGTGTAGATTTACGGCTTCATCCTTGGTTTAAACCCCGGGATGCTTCAGGATGTCCTTGCCGTTATAAATTATCGGTCAAGTGATACGATGGTAAAAGGTGCGCAACACATCATGAGCGCCAATAAATTAATACGGGCCATCAGTGAGGAGACTGGTTACCCCGCCCTTTCAGTGTATTGGACCTTTAATGTGTTTTAGGAAAGACTTTTTTCCTTCAACTTTTGCCTCATATCTACATCCTAACTTGTCTTTCCAAAGGCTCATAAAAATCCAATCGTCGTCGCGGCTGCTAAAATATCGTCTACGTAACGCGTCCGCCTCTGCTGCTACGTGAGTGCTTTCTTATTTTGCCACTAAAGCAAGCATTTGGAAATTGACGTTTGCAACCAAGCGGGTCCTTTCCTATTTAAGCGCTCGCATTATCTAATCGGCGCTTGATTTGCGAGGGGGCATGTCTTAAAGTGGAATCAAATAATCTTAGCCTCTCGCGCAATACCTCAAACGTTAGCATTCTGCATCGGAGGGGGGCCTCGAGTGGACTGTTAATGTGCCGGCAATTGAGATCTTAAGTGTCCTTTCACACTTTAATCCAATTGATAAGGCGGTCCGACTGCAAGGGCGGTCCGGCTGTCCTCTGCACGGAGAAATCCTCAGCTGTGAACTGTCCAGGTTGCTCTTCCATTCTGTCGAGATAAATCAATTACGCTTTAATTGCTCGGATGGATCGGAGCCTTCGGCGCCGAAGCGAGCGGACAATGAACCTTAATAACCTCGTGATATTTCGACATGACAGCCGTGCGTACGGTATTTGTATTGTGTCAGAAAAATCACACGGCTTACCTTTTCCCTCCGTCTGATTTGGACAAGATGATTTACATTTTACTGTCTCTGAGAGCCCCCCCCAACCTCCTCTGGAGATGGCCCATTTTTACTATCAACATTTGGTCCCGGCCCACCCTTTCTGTTATCTTTCTATCCCCGTCTGGATTCCATCTGAGGTGCCGCGAGCCTCTGATCATACGTCTCTGGCTTCCGTTTGCCGCGATAAAGCCCGCCGGAGATCAAAGTCAAGAGTTTACGTAATGACGAGGGAGAAGGAGATGAGGGGGAGGAAAAGGCACTGTGGATTTGGCGAAATGAAATGTTGACACTTGACTGAACTTTCTTTTTTCTTCCGTCGGAGACTCTTATACGACCTGGATATCGAGTTGTTGCTCTGCTCGCACATTGCTGGAAGTACGCTCGCCGGACACTCGGGAGCCAAACCAAGAGATGCATGGAAGGTTTTGCCTTAATGCGGTTGCTTTCGATTCTGTCTCTCCCAAACTATGAAGGGCATCTGACTGATGTTTGTTCACTTCCTTCCATCGAGGGCTTTCTTTTCCACTTCATCGGCACTAAAACAAGAGCGATGCGTCGCAGTTTCCGTCTCGTCCGGTGCTAAAACTCCCCCAGGCGAACGTCCGACGGCCCGCTGCGACTCATTGAAGCTCAGCCAACAGTGTGTACAGGAGAACGAAAAAAAACCGAAGAAAAATATCTCTCGTCTCTTAGGCAAATGGAGTTTGACAGAATAAAAAGAAGCGACCTCCAGATGCCTCATCTAAATGAGCGCCAAGCGGGGACGACTTGAAATTTCTCACTGATTGTTTTGCGGCGTCCAGACAGGTTGATGTGAAAGCAACGGATTGCAGACTGTAACTCTGGTAATTCCCTCTCTCCCCATCGCTTATCTGCCTTTTCTCCTCAGTCCAGCCTCTCATCTGTTCTCCTTTTTTTTTTTTCGCCGGTCTCTTGTGTTCATTCTTATGTTTTTTTGTTTTTTTTTCTCCGTCCCCAATGGCAGCGGTTTAATGAGCTTTTCCTACACTGTCTCTCTAAACCCAATCTCTTTACCTCCATCTCGGTGGGCCTATCTTCCAAAGCACCGATGTAACTGCCGGTGCATTTGCCCTATTACGGGATGTTCACCCCTGCGGAACTCCTCACTTGTTTCACTTTTGTTTGGCAGCTTTCGTTGGCACACTCGGCGTACCGGCTGGAATGTGTTTCACGGACATGGGTGCGGCGAGGCAATTGATGACTCGGACAACAACACAGAAACCCGGGGGGTGGGCAAAGCTGTCAACGATGAAACGTGTTATCGCGAGCGATTATGGTACTTTGTTTTATATTCACCCATTGAAAGTGAAAGAAAGTCCTATTCATTGTTGGTAGGCGTGCAAATCCCTCCGCATCGTGTCCTTTCTCTGCGTTTTGACATGACCAGCATCTACCGGTATTGTTCTCATGACAAATTCTGATGAACAAAAAAAATGACCCGGGCGGCGAGGGACGGGTGTCGCTCCCGCCATCTGATTAGCATGTTCACCTTTTAGATTTGATAAACTCGCTCGCCTGTTGATCCGGTCTCCCTCCCGGAGGCATTGATAAGAGGATGTGTTATTTACAAGATGCCCGTTTGAGCGAGCAAGCTCATTTGGGTTTAACAGGCTCTAACAGGGATCAGATGGATGGGGTGGAGTGTCATTGATGCTAATCAGAGCGTCGCAGCTGCTTCTTGTGGATGCGAAAGGATGTGTTGGATTTGATGGCGGGTGATAGAATTAATGACCCTCTTCTTCGGTCCCTCCAGAGGCTTTTTGGGTGTCCTGATCCCACCTCGCCGTTAATTGATATGCTCTTTTGTGTTGTCCCTCGTGGCCCCAACTTTGTCATCACTTGAGCTGCAAAGCTTATCCAGATCTTGTGTCAACCTGTTTTGTTTTTTTTTTGCACGTGGAAATGTTCAGTCATAGGGTGTACATGCAAACAAACTCCACAAGGCACTCCCCTAAGTTGTTTGCCACAAGTGAGCGGAATCGAACCAGAGAGCGCTGAGCCTCGACGCAGCAGCGGCCGTGCATG